GACAGTGCTGAAGATGAGGATGTTCCAGTTGCACATCGCTCAAATCATGATCTTTTATTGGAACTTCTAAATGTTTCTCGTCAAAATCAAGCCACTCTTCAAGAATAACAAACCACTCTTGAACACCAACAACAACAACTTGACGAAGTGCTTATGACTGTCACTCATATCAGTGAAGACTTTGAAGCCTTTCGAAAAGGCTTTGAACCCCGTCCTCCTTCTACTTAGAACAATATCACCTCGTCTAAAAACTCTTTTTGTGCACTCACTTGTTTTATCAGCTTTGAAGAAGCCTCTTTTAGCTATGTTTTTTACTTATGTCGTTTTTCTTTTGAAGTCTTTATCATGATCTATGCTTTTGTCTAACATCTGCTAGTTATGTTCATATTTTCCTTATCTACTGTTTTGACTTCTGTCATCTATAAAATGACATATTTCCTATTTTATTGCCCTTTAAATTCTCATTCTCTAATAGTTCATGAATTGGCATTTATTTTCTCTTTCATAGAAGTAGACTTTTTGAGATGACAAAGGGGGAGAAAGATGTGTTATTATGCTATGTGTCTACTATGCTATGTGTCTACTCTACTTTTTATATATATCTTGATTGATGCATATTGATAGGGGGAGATTTATAAAAATATCTGTAAAAAGGTTAAATGAAATCAAGCATGATATGATACTTTAGATATGCTTATTGATAGGGGGAGCTCTCTTTCAAATACAACTCTACTTTGTCAATAAACACATCAATGTTTTGTCATCATCAAAAAGGGGGAGATTGTTGGCCTAAGAATTTTTATCTAAAGGTCAAGCTTATTTTTTATGATTACAAACCATTAATGATGTTTATGTACTAATATTTTCATTGAGTTATATATAGTTCATATCTTATATAATGAGCTAGATGAGCCATTTCAAGCATTCAAGTACTCAAGTTATGGACTCAATGAAGCCTCAAAGATTGCAAGAAATCAAAGAAAGACTCAAACTTCAAAGATCAATCAAACAATTTCAAGGAAGAAAGCAAGTCTTCATCAAGCTCAAAAGATCATGGTCAGGGAATAGAGAAAATGGTAGATAGGATGGTGAGAGCTTTAGATTTAAATGTTAAAGCATATTTGAATATCTTCTGAAGCTCAAGTTTTTAGGTTCATGCATATTTTCTCTAAAAATCAGTTTTTAGAAGGCCTAAAATCTTTCCATGAACTTTACTTATGCATGCTCTCATAATAGGAAGTGCACAGAACAAGATGTGTTTCATTCTTAGTCTTACACAAGGATTGGAGCCGCCTCCCAAATGTAGGAGCCTGCTCTTTGCACTCCAGTAGCCAAATTGTGTGTCGTAGAATGCATTTTGTGAATTGGAGCCGCCTCCCAGTTATTGGAGCTGCCTCCCATTTATTGGAGCCTCCTCCAATTTTTTATAGAGCCGGCTCTTTTAAGTTATTTGAATCTACAACGGCACTTTTCTGCATTTAAGTCTTCCAACTACTTCTAACAGACATATTAAGCTACGGTTATCTATATAAGGAAGGCTCATTTACTGAAGTAGATACACCACTGAATAATACATTCAAGAGAGCATTCAAGAGCATTCAATAAGCCATTTATATTCTTCTCTGAGCTTTCACTTTCAACCATCACTACATTCTCTCATCCTAGAACTTGAGCTTCATTAATATTCTGATATTCTCTAGTTGTGAGCTTACACTTGTATATCTATTGAGAGAGATTCTTATATTTCATTTACAAACTTTGCTACAATCTTGTAAGGGTTGGTGTGACCCAAAAGAAGCCTAGGAGAAGGGTGTTCTCCTAGCAAGGAAAAGAAGTAAGGTCTTGCTTCAAATTTGAAGGTTTGCTCTCCACCATTAAGGAGAAGCTCTAGTGAATTTGAGAAGTCTCAAGGGGGATCTTGAGCCGAGGAGTAGGAGTTTCCGAACCTCGCTAAATCACCGAGTTCATTGTTTGCATCTTCCTATCTCTATCTCTTTTATACTTGTGCTTTATATTGCTTGAATTTTTCAATTAATCATTGCATAATAGTTGTTGTAAAACAAATTTCATAAACTGCGAAAATTGACCATTGACTCTATTCACCCCCCCTCTAGAGTCAATTAGTGGTTAACATTCCTCACTTCCATTATTAGAACACTTTTGCTCGGTTTCTTCATTTGCTTTTGTTTGCCTTGGATTTTAGAGGTTCAGTCCTCTAGTGAGGTAGGGGTTATCCTATGTTTATACTCTTGTTGTATCTTGTGTTCCTTGTTGTTGATATACATTGTATACATGTCATTTTCGAATTTTAGGTTTGTATATAGATGTTTATAACATGAAATTAACTTAGGGATTTGTTTTATTCACAGCTTATGGATGATCTTTAACTTGTATTAACATGATTTCATTTATAGATGTTTTAAAATCTAGATATTGTAATTGTGTAAATATAGAAATTCTATATAATTGTTGCCAAGGATTTAATTGTGTATTTGAGGTCGATGTTGTATTGATGTTTAAATCATGGATTTAAAATTGTAGTATACTCACATGAATGAAATTTCTATATTGATAATATAGTTATAGCTTGATTTGGTTCACATGGTGACATTGATGTTGTAAATGCCATTGTAGTTGAGGACTTAGGGCATTATTTGTGTGTATTCCTATTAGTTTGTGCATGGTAAGTGGTTAAATGCATTATATACTTAGTATATGTTGTGTATAATTTGTTGATTTTGGATTCTTAGGGTGCCGTTGTTGTGACAAGGCTAGAGTACAGCTCTAGTGCGGGAGGTACGAGTTCTCCCCAAAATAGTGCTCACTTTGGGAGGTTACCCACGGGCTAGTAACCCAAAAGTTACCAAATGCGTTCGATTTATTCCGGCGAGATATCCAAGTATATCTACCTTTGTTTGATTTTGCATTTTTGTTTCAAATTGATAACACTAAATCATTGTAACTTGTTTCCTTTGTTTGATTTCACATTTTCGTTTAGTTAATAACACCAAATCGTTGTAACTTATTGTTTTGAATTGGCTATTCCAATGTTGTTTAATTGTATTACTTATTGTGATTTGTGTTTAAAATATTCCAAGATAGCTTTAGGATGATCCCATAGCTCCACTTTGAACATAGACGTTGGGTGGCATGAACCATGTGTAACCATTTATATTACACTTGCAATGAACTGTTGAAACTTTAGGGTATACGCATGCGCTTTATCCTACTGAGTAACTCATTCATTGACCCTAGTTGATTGGTTTTTTTTTTTTTAGGGAAGAAGACACTATTTTTGATGCTCAACCTCCCTAGCTTGGCTTGTGTTGCATTTGGATATCATTTATGTATTTTTGACATGCAAGTGTTATCATGTTTTGTCTACCTTTTTTTGTTGTAAATGTATAACTTGTTTAAAAGCATGATATGCTTCCTTTTGGGCATGTAATATGAACTTAAGTGTCTTATTTTGATTCTACATATGTGTAATGAGGCCAAAGGCCAAAGACTTTTGATGGATTGAATGCATGTATAATTTCAGCCTGTTTTTACTTTCATGACCTAATTAATCTTAGGGGCATTTTGGTCATTCTAGGTTACATATTATTTTTGGTTTGGACCATAGTTGATCAGAAAAGTCATTTTTGAGTGGGATTTCTTCACAAACTTTTCCCAAAAAGTCTCATTTAAACCCTGAAAATCACACGTTTTCAAAAACTTCACTGTCGTAGCAAATTGCTTTTCCTTCTTGACATTCCTTGCACTCGGGGGCCTTTTGGTCATTTTATGTTGCATTTTATTTTTGATTTGGACTATAGTTGATTAGAAGACTCATTTTTAGGGGGGGTTTCTTCACTAACTTTTTCCAAAAAAAAATCCCTTTTTAGCCTTGAAAATCACGTATTTTCGAAAATAAAACTGCTCGCAGCCATATCGACCTTACCGGGCACATTTTGGCAAATTTTTTTTTTAAAACTTCGGAAAATTGTACCTTCTTCGTTCTAACTCCAAATCAAGTGATTTTTGAGTCAAAGTTTATTAATTTTTCATTGTCTTTCCAATGGTATGCACGGTGGTATCCATTTCTATTTGAAAAGACCATTTTACCCTTAGTGGAACACTTTATCCGTTTTAAAACCTTAGCTTCCGCGCTATTTTCTTTTGAGTTCTGTGACTTCTCGGGAAGTTACTTTGGCGTCCTAGAGGTGGTATTTACCTCTAGAGACCCTTTTTCTATTCTTCCTTCCGTATTTGGGATTCGTTATCGGATCAGTTTCGGATTACTCGCTGACGCACCGGGTTCTTTGAAATTCGAGCTATCACATTTAGTTGAATTTAACCTTTTTAAGACATTCACATTAAAAATTATATTAATAAGTACTTATTGAATAATTTTAATTATTTAAGTTTGAATTTATATTTTCTTATGATTAGATTTGACATTAATATTCATTGTTAAATTGATACATTTTATTAATTGAATGTGGTTGTCTTATTAATATTTTTATATTAAAAATATAAAATTATTATGAGTACTAGATATTAAGGGTAAAAATGTAATTTTTACAACTTCCAGACTTCCACTTTTTTATATAACAAATAATCTTAATAAAGTCAATACTTAAAATTAAAATATTATGAAACAGATTTTTAAATTAATACATTTAGCACTTAATACATTCAGTCAATTTGTCCTGTCTTGTACCGTTATAGTTTCCTTTTAATAAAAATTGTATACCTTCACCATGAAAGAAAACAGAAAAAAATGAAAGAACATGGATCACACTTTTATAGTACGTAGTAGGTTTGTACTATACTCTTAATTAATTGTAGATCTTAATTAATATGAACGTCAGGCTAGATGCTGTGCATCTATAAATTTGAGAGCTTGAGAGGGCCATTGAAGATATGTGAGAGCTTGGCGAAACTGTAGGTGAAAATTAACAAAGTCGCACTAAAACTGCATATATATATATATATATATATATATATCGATTACTATGAAAACGAAGAGCACTTGTTTAGGAGTGAGAAAAGGTGCTTGGACTGAGGAAGAAGATATTCTTCTAAGGAAGTGCATTGAGGAGTATGGTGGAGGTAATTGGCACCTAGTTCCTCAGAGAGCAGGTATATTTATTCATGCATACTAGTCTACGTACCTACATATATAATTAAGATATTCTTCTAATCTGTTTTATTTCATGACATTATATATTACGGAGTACTATATATTACATATCTTTGTTTCACAGGTTTGAACAGATGCAGGACAAGCTGTAGAATAAGGTGGTTGAACTATCTGAATCCAAATATAAAGAGAGGAGACTTTAGATCCGATGAAGTTGATCTCATTATCAGGCTTCATAAGCTCTTAGGCAATAGGCAAGTTCAGAGTGCGCACTTACAGAGACTGACTCTCACACACACACACATAACTTAAATTTAATTTAGGTCACTTATATATAATTAGTTTTACAGTATAAACTGTCAAGCAAGACCCGTAGAGACCTCGGAGGCAAAGTTCATGATCAGTAATTTCTCTTCAAGCAATAGAACTTATGGAGAATTATACTGTCATGGGGTTTTGGAGCACTTTTACATGGTCACAATTTTCATCAAAATGGTGTTTAGGTAACAAAATTTCAGATCCATGGAGATTTTTTCTATTTTTGACACACAACAATTTATGTTTTCATAATTACCCATGAAATAAATATAATAACACAAATGCTTTAAAACATCAAATAAATTCAATGCACCACGCTCCTATATATAGACTTATCTTTAGGTTTGCCTTTTGTTCTTTGAACTCTTCTATTAATTACGAAGTAAGCAACCACTACTTGGCAGAACTTTCTCTGCTGGAGAACTATTATGATCACCTTTACAGCAACACTCAATGGTTTACTGGATTAATGAAAAAGGAATTTAAACGAGACAAGGACTAAAAGGTAGATTGCTTCGAGTTACGGAAAACTCGCTGACTATTTTATTGAAGGAAAATAATGGTACAAATCTTAACACACTAGAAAATCATACACGCAGAGAAGTTTTGAAAGAAAGCTCTAAACAATTCTCTATCTCACTCTCTAACTTTGGAGGATGATAACAATGCGAGAAGAGCCTTTTTGAGTAATTCTTTCCGTTTAAATGCAACACTCTTATCTTTTGGGCTGAAAATTGTCTTTCAATCTTGGTGTAACTGTTAGATTTTGCCAAGTATTCTTCTTTTATTTTCATGACGGACAAATTCATCCTTTTCTCTTTATTGGAATTTTAACAAAATATTGTCAAGAAGTGTTTTTTGAATTAAATTTATTCGCTTGTTTGTTTTAGAAACAAGTTTTCATTTAAATTCTTTGTTATAGTAAAATCACCAAAACAAAACTGTCTGATGTTCAAGACTTTGAGATCTTTTATCCTTTGAATTTCCCGTCTATTCTCTTTTGAGATTTTTCATTTGAGGCTTTGGGTTTGGAATTCGAATCATATGTGCCATTTCCCGTGTTAATGCATCTGGAAGACTGTTTATTGACCCCACAATATGTTTAACATTAAGTCAAAAGTTAGTAAACGACTGTCTCCATCGCAATAATCTTCCTTCGCTCGTGTATCAAAGTCGGACTAACTTTGACTTCATACAAGTATTGAAATTCTTGCAATATTATTTTCTTTTCTTTTTTCCTTTCATTATAGGGTTTCCTCCAAACTTTGCACTCTCTCTTTTTAAGAAGTTTTAATATTTCTTTCTCACTCCTTTATATATTTTTTAAGATCATCTATTTATTGGTCAATCTTATTTAAGGATTCACTATTTTCTGTCATTGTTGCTAGTAACCAATTATTCTAGTTTATGGGCAGTTGAGAAATTTTTAGAGTGTTCTCTAGTTGCAAAATATAGCCTTTCATGGCTTTATCATCCTGAAGTTGTAACCTTTGGTCTACTTTTTTCTTGGAAATTACTCATGGTCTTTATCATTTCTTTGGATAAACAGTTTAATTTCACTTTTAATTTGGAATTTAAATTACTTTGGTTATTATCTTAATTTTTTCTACAAAAGACTTGGGTTAATTTGCACCAACTTCTAAAGTTTTGATTATTCTTTCGAGTCATGTGGATTTTGTTCTAAGTTCACCAATTATATGGTCACTTAAATTTTTATCATTGTTTTCTTGAGCTATTTTTTCACTACTTTATTTATTTATTTTTTATAATTGAACTCTAGTTGAATGTTTTTCTTGATTTTGGAAAATATGTTCTACCTTCTTTTCTAGGTTCATAATCATAATGTTATCTATTTCTTGACTTATGCAGTCAAACTTCTTGTTTAAATTTAACATTTTTCCCCCCTTAAATATAGTTTTTCATTTAGATATATCTAGCTTGATTGAATATAGCTTTCTAAATAGTTCCCGAACTTCTCTTTTTGCAGAGTTTTCTTTTAATTATTTTCTTTTTGTGGTTTAAAAGAGTTATTTTGATGTTAATAACTTTGACTCTTACAAAGTTAAAGGTGTGCCCATAAGTTATTTTATCTTTGTATGGACAGTGACTGTTGTTGTCAACGGCGTTGTTCCAATTTTTGTAAATGGCTCTCATTCCAGATGAAAATTATGGCAAAAATTTAGTATATATTTAGAAAATAAAAGAATTGGGGTCTAATTACTATTATTCTCAAACTTTGAGATATTATCACAGCTTTTCTTAAATTTCGGGCGTAAAAATAATTTTAAAAACTAAAGTCCATGACTTGGTAATTTGGAGTTCCGACACCAGTGATCCGTAATATGGGTCACTTACCACCACTGCCATGTAGCCCTAGAACTTATTTAAAAGTTATACTATCAATTATTTGCCTCTGAAACTTCTTATATATATATATATATATATAACTGAATATTGACTTGTGTTGAGTAGATGGTCACTGATTGCTCGTAGAATTCCGAGGAGGACCGCAAACGATGTGAAGAACTACTGGAACTCCCACCTCCGGGATAAGCCTGTGGCTCGCGAAGAAGCCGTTGCAATAACCAAAGCCATGAAGCCTCGACCTCGGAGATTTTCGAATCATGTAGACACTAGCAACACTAATCAATCGGTAGGAGACGGTACTATCACCAACCCATATCCATTAACATCACCACCTCCAAAGGTTGATGAACTTCCGTGGTGGGATAACATGGTTGTTGACACGGAATTAATTGATGAGTGCATGGGTGGTACTGGTGGGGAACTCATTACAACACTTTGGACTGATCATGAAGCAGCAGCAACTTCTGGAGTTAATGCAAGAAGTGACAGTTTTGTCCATCATGTCAAGAATATCTATATAGGTGACAATGATGTGGACCTTTGGAGTCTTCTGTAACGTACCCAACTCATTATGGGATTTTTAATTCTTGTACTTCTACTACAAAGCTAGCTGTGGGTAAAACTACTTACGTCAAGGGGAAAAATAAGTTGTGTCCGTCAACGGTAGAACCAAATCTTAAGCCAAAGGCTTTACATTACATTTACCGGCCTTGGTTTCATGTGGTCCCACGATCAAGAAACCAAGGTGGAAAATACAAAGTTGGTGTCAACCACACTACCCAGACACTCACCAGTCAACTGTCACTGTTCTATAATGTTACCGAGACGCGTCTGTCGCACTAATATTTATTCCGGATTGTACTTCGTTTTAGTAAGTTGCTTAGTTTGCATTACATACTCTTGTTGTGCTTCTTGCTTCAAATCCACGGTGGTTGCTTGCTATTTTGTTTGCTAATAGGCCTAGCTGGTTTCTTGGGTTGGTATGGTTTGGGATTTTGTTAGTAGTTGTTATTTCACTATTTTGTTTTAGTAATATTTTTATTTTAAATGAATAAATATCATTTAATACTTAATTTGCTTGTGATCATTATCGTATAATGTCAATTTTTCTTACAGAAAAAAGTTGAAAACATTTTAGAATATGTTCATATTATTATTAAGATTATCGAGTAGGCTTATGTCAGAAATATTCGAAAGGATAAGCTAAGTCTCCAACAAGTGTTAGCGAAGTATCCGAAATTGTCTGGAAAGTATTCAAAATAATAAAAATTTATAATTATTTACGAACACATATGAAGTGTGGTGTGTCCGATTAATATCGTTGTTCGACAACGATAGAATATAGGTACGATTTCTTCGTAAAAGTGTTAGCGCTTCATAGGTTGAAGTGCAAAAAAAATTTCTGAAGAGAATTTATGTAGAGTAGTGGGCTGACTATCCCTCCACAGTGGCTGCTCCCTTTGATTAAAAAATATATCATTCATATTATAGTAGTAATTTAAAACTATTTCCTACTTTTTGGGTCTTTAATTACCTAAACATTTTAGATCAGATTACCCTTTTAAAATATTCCTTCTTTCTTTTTTATTATGTTTGTGTGTATAAATATATATACACACGGATATATATGTAAGGGAGGAATTATTAATGGGTTAATATGGGCTGTAGCATAGGTCCAACTAAAAAATAAAAATTAGTATTACTTATCATATAAGCTCAGTGCATATGTAATTAATTTGTAATACTACTCTTCGTCTTTCTATCAGGGCAACTGTTCATGTGTTTATCTAGACTATATGTTTCTACTATCCTTCTCTTCGAACTGGTCCTGTGTTTATCTTTTATTTTTTCCCCCCTTTAAGCAAGAGTATAAATTATGTTAATTAGAAACTATAATTCAAAAAATTTACAACTGCTAGAAAGTGTAGAAACATCCAACTTTTCATTCAGATTAGGACATAAACCCATATTCCCCTAGAACATGGGCGGTCTTATTTCAAAATCTAATTACCTTTATCAATTAATAGTTGAATAGATGTTCAAGATTCAATTGGATAAGTTTTTATTTTATTTTTACCTGGAAAACGAATTCCAATGGGTACTTTGATGTTGGATAACAAATATTTTCCTATACCTGATTTAAGTTGAGATCTAAATTTGGTAAACTAGGCTTCTAGGTCTCTCGGATCAGATCTTCAGTAAAAAATGATCAATTTCATTATCTAATTACTTGGACCATATTGAATATAGTATATTCTTACCATATCTCACTTCTACAAGAAAATTTTATTGTATTCATCTTAAATTTTCTTATCTTTAATCTCTCTACTTTGCAATCCTGGCTCCGCCCCTGTATATATGTATATAAATAGCTAATCTATATATTCTCTATTAGATTTTCATCATGGTAAATTTTAATTAAAGTAATATTATGGGACTGAATTTTAGTTAAAGTAAAATTGTGAAATTTGAGTTTTAGTTTGATGTTATGAGTTGCAATATTGCTTACATGAAAAAAAAAAAAAAAAAAAAAAAAAAAAAAAAAAAAAACCACATCCAATGAGACTTTGACAACTCAACAACATAAACTAAAAGTTACAAATTTAACAAATGAAAATAAGGCAAATAAAGTCGCCATCATCTGTCGCCACCGTAATGTTTTCACGTGTTTTGGTCAGAATTTTTGTTGAATAAAGTAAATGCAACTCATAACATCAAAGATGTAACGAAGAATGTAATAAAAATAAAATTTTAAAATTGTGCATATGCCGAATATAATAGAAATACATATGTAAAATTGGAGCAGCTTTGTCCATTTCAAGAAAAATAAAAATAAAAAACTCAATAAAATATTAGTCAATTGAGAGTCTGAGACTGCCATTTTTATATTTATATTCTTTGTGAATTATAAAACTAATAAAAAATCTTACCTTAACGTATGGTTTTAAAAATGTGGATTGGGGACGACAAAGTATGTATTGGGTTAGGGTTTGCTTAAATATGGGCTTCAAAATTTTATGGGCTTACTTTAGCTAATAGAGTTTTGGGTTTTACAACTTTATCATACTCACTAGCCTAATAGAGCTGGGCTAGTAGTATAAAATTTTGTTTTGGGCTGAACTTATGAGTAAAGTAAATTGGGCTGAATATAATTGTTGAAAGTTAATCTGATTGTATAATATATATCGCATATATATATATATATATACACACACATACATAATGGTTGTCGACGAATTTGTTCATGAACTAACGAGCTTAGCTCAAGGTTGTTTGACATTGGCTCGTATACGAAACGAGCTTGCAAAAGTTGTTTTTGTTTTGTTTACTAAGTAAAGAAACACGAGCCTGAGCTATTATTAAACCGAACTCGAACTCAAGTTATTTGTCGGACACTTAGTTCATTTTTTGCTCTAATAAATGCTATATTAAATATTTTTGCTCTCATAAGTATTTTTAAAAAGGAAAAGTGCAATTTATATATTATGAACAAATTGATGTATCAATCTGACCTGAAATTAAGTCATAAAAACCTTAGACCAAATCTGACCCATATAATTTATTTTAAAACATATAAATTCTCAAAAAACCCAGATGTTTCCAATTCCAAAAGCTACCACTACCCCTGCATTTCACCACCACTATTGCCTTTCCACTACTACCTTCCACCACCCTTCCACCACCGCTATCTCCACCACAGTCACTGCCACTGCCACTGCCACCACTATTGCCGCCTTCCATTGCCACTACCTCCACCACCACACCGTCGACGCCACTACCGCCATCACCACCGACTTTCGCTACCGCCACCGCCTTCCAGCACCATAACCTCCATTGCCTTCCATCACCGTACCACCAATGGCATTGCCGCAACCACCACTACGGCCGCCTTCCACCTACACTATCATCGTCATCACCACTACTACCACATCCACTACCTTCCACCACCGCCGCCTTCCCCCACCATTATTACTGCCACCACAGTCATTATTACTACCATCACTATCACCGCCTTACACCTACTCCACCGCTGCTATCACGACCACCACCTTTCACCACCATCACCTCTAATGCCTTCTGCCACCACTTACGTAACTACTGCCTTCCGCCAGCACCGCCACCACTTTCCACCACCACCTCCTACACCACTGCCGCCTTCTACCACCACCATAATTGCTTCCAACACTGCCACTGCCACTACCGCCGCCTTCCAACACCACCATGTATATAACCGCCACCTCCCATATTAGACCAAGAGGGGGGTGAATTGGTCTAATTCAATTTATTCTTCAAGCACAGTGATAGTAACAATATAAAGTAAATACAATTAGACACAAGGTTTACAAGGAAAACTCTCTCAATAGGGAAAAACCTTCGTTTTTTGCCTCAGCCAATAAAAGATCCACTAGTTGTATGCAAGTAGTTACACGCTCAGCTGTCTCACACTCTACACACACCCTTGCACAAGTTGAAACATTAGTTTTCACAGCCTCTACACACTCACTAGCTCAACATGCAATGTGCTTAACAACACTCCCCCTGTCCTAAGCACCCTTGCTTGGACCCTGCAAGCTCTCATAACTCACCAAATACAATAAGAAGTATGAACAATAGCAATATTCAAACATACATGATGTGCACTAAGTGTATCAATTATAAAACCACTATCTATAGCACAAATTCTTGTAGAAAATGGCTAAGTAAGGGTTATCGATCCACGAAGATTGCTAGCTTATGACAATCAAATGTCTAAGACCACTTTCAAGTTTGATAGAAAACAATTTGGTTTAATGATTTGTTTGTCACTTAGCATGAAATTAAAACTTAAAATAGAAAGTAAAATGGATTCAATTGATTAGAGAATATAAAGAGAAGAGGTTAGGGAATTGACTTCACCAAGACCTCATAAACATGCTTACATGCAATCAACTTAGGAAAAAATAACTATGTATATAACTATGATGTGTAGAAGTATAAACAACCACAACATCTTCTAGAAATTTACACAATTCAGAATTAAGCGTAACCCATCTTTGGTTGAAATGGCTCATCCACCTAAACTAAGTTGTGGTATGAACCATCTTCCCTAGGCGTGATGTGTGTCAATTATAAACCACTAACACTAGCACAAGTTCACGTAGAAAATGGCTAAGTAAGGGTATTGATAAATGCTCAAATGTTGCACATTTTAGCACCTAAGGTAGGGTATTTTAGTCCATTCATCTATAATTATTTTCCTATTTTAGTACTAATTTATGTTTTTGTCTATTTCAAGTTAATAAGGTTCAAATGGGTTAAAAATGGTCCATTATAGCTTTTTTGGAGTCAAGCATAAAGTTCTGGAAAGTTTCAGAAAAATGCAGAATTTCGCCACCAGGGACTTTCGATCGATCGAAGAACCCTTCGATCCATTGAAGCCATCTGCGATCCATCGAACTGCCACGTCAGCAAATAGGATTGCCAACTTTGGAGATAAGGATGTCATGTCATTCTAGATCGATTGAAGAATTCTCGATCCGTCAAAGATCTTCTCGATTGATCGAGAATATGTTGGCA